CATTGCGAAAAATGTGACAAAAGTTTTTATTTTTTTAACTTGTATGTATGTGTTTGAAGTGTAAAAAACAAAATTGCTAACAGGGGTCATCAAGGAAAACTTTTTAGCGATATACCAATAACTCCTAAACGATGCATTAATGCGAAAAATGTACTCTTTAATAAATTAAAGCACGCTAAATTTTTCGTCGAACGAGTACATAAACTTTATGATTTGGTTACATGGTAAGGTATAAAACCATGGTCAGCGAAAGCTGATTTTGAACAAATTTCTTAAAAACTCAGACAAATTACTATAAATGACTCTGTAACTTGGAAATGGTTTTTCCCTGAGAGGAAAAAACCCATAGAAACTGTCTCATCATTGAACTGTTTTGTCTATTCCTTATTGGGTTGTTACTCAGATTGAAAGAAAGTGATAAGGAAAGTAGACTATGTTAAGATATAATAAATTGAGACCTATCCCAGAGACCGACCAATAGCCGAATCGATTCCTTCGGCTCCCGATACATCCAACCGATGACTTGATAACAACTTTACGAGAACGTAATGTCTTCGGAAGAATTTACTGCATGGCTGACTCAGCTGGTCCGCCCTAACAGCGGGCAGTAAGTACTGATAAGCAACTATCGACTCAGAGCTAACAGTAATTGGTGGTGCGCAGTACTGACTCCACTATTGTCCTTCTAACAACCCGGTCGTCTGTCGGCAGATCACGAACGTCTCGTTAGTAATCGCGCGCGCGCGCATTTCCCGGCAATTAGTGATAGGAGGTGGCGAGATATCGATACGAAGGGATGATAAGGGCAGCTTTGATGTGGCGAATATGCGAGAATAATCAGTGTAAATCGGCGAAAATCATAAATACGCCAGGGCAGGGATTCTTAATCTTAAGGTTAAGAAAATACTAATAGTCCAGTAAAACTTGCGGAAAAATATCTAAACATAATAATAAACTTGCTATACTTGCTAATGTTACTAACCTAAATTAAATATATTTTAGTCATCGCTCTCTACTCTACAAAAAACGCATCTGACATAAAAAAAGAAGGAAAATTTTTCAGATTTACTATGCAATGAGCACAATTTATAGTAACGTTTTGGTAGGTTTTACGGTCTCCCACAATTTATTATCAATTATACGAAATCAATATCAATTTAAACATCTTATCAATGCCACAAAAACACTAAGTGATTGATATTAATTACAATAATGTTGTCAGTGACATTTTAGAATCATCGAAACAAACAAACTTTTCATTATAATTACAACGATCGATAATAAAAAAAATAACAAAATAATTTAATTTCGAAATAGAATTAACTAATAACAACAACAATTTAATAGTTCGGATCAATGTTTGCTTAAAAGGAAAATGTTATAAATATAACATTTAAAATTTCTCCCAAACCACAGATTTTACAAAAACATATGTAAAAAATCATTTTTATAGATATTTTTAGTCTTGCCAAAATCGGTCTTGGTCTTGGACTTTGCAAGACCAAGACTAGGACTGGTAAAAAAACTCGATTTTTTCAAATAAAAATTAAGGCAAAATAGTTACTAATATTTGACAATCTTAGTTACTATATGTAAATAATTGGTATAAATCAATATACTTTTGCATTTAACTCCTCTAATTTTTCATTCGGGCTTAGTTAGATTTCTCCTATCTAAAAAAATACAGTAATATCTCAATAATAATAACTAATAAGTAGCTGCGAGATTCTTGCACAAGACCAAGACCAAGACTGAGTTTGCAAGACCAAGACTAGTCTTGGTCTCGCCTTTGGGCAACACTAGATATTTTAAAATACTTTAATATTTTACTGAACAATGTTTACGAAAAACCTCATTATTTTGAGATATTACCAAAATACTAAATAATATAAGATTTCTGTCATTCTTTTCCTGACCCCATCGAAACTCCACTTGGGAAACTGGTGTTTTTGTCAGTTTCTGCCGAGTACAGTACCTTTTTATTCTTTAAGGGGTTTAAGTAGCAGATATCAAAACTCCGAGGTACTTAAGTGAGAAGAAATATTGTGTTTTAATGATTTTGAAGCGGACACAATAAAATTCCTTTAGAACGTAGATCGGTTCTGCTCTATAATGATGGATCAATCCCTAATTTTATGGTATCAGTCTAAGCAAAAAATCGGTTCGAAATTTCCACATACCATAGGAAATAAGGGTGGAAATAAAGGTGTCAAAACTATGGCACACTGATCTAGATGAAGATGATTTTTTATATTCCGGATAACTTGATTATCCGGAATAGAAGTGAAAAGACAAAGATAAAAGAGCTCGATGATCGGACAGCAGCGCAGAAAACACTTAAGCGGTGTCCCTTCCGTATCAATCGTTTCAGGAAACCGAGAAGATTTGATTAGTCCCCGGTTTCAATCTAGAAGTGATGTTGTGGAGGGGGATCGCACAAATCGGAAAAGTTATACTTCCGCCTTTAATCCGCTGCCAGGGATATCCAATTAGAGGAGTTGAAGAAACTTGTTAGCTGGAGGTGACGCCGCTACTTCCAGTGTACCCGTTATCGTCGTAACGAGTCATCCAGTTCTTCTGTGTCAAGACAAGTATAATATCTTCAGCAAACGAAATGATTTTTCTGGGTGAAGTGTTTGTTTTATAAATGGTTAGCATATGACAAGATTTTCCAAAAAAAAATATAAATAAATAAAATCAATCATATATATCAGAGAAAAATATGAATGAGGTGCCTAAGAAAATATATTAAACTTTAAATTAAATATATAAATAAAAAAATCTGGTTCATCCATAACGATGGGGCATACTAATGATAAGCTATCGCATGTATCAGCGAATAATTTACTATATCATATAATGTAGTGTAAATCCCTTTTACCGGCCTCAGGATTGATGGATTACGACAAAACGGGGGTTTAAGAAATAGATATCAAAACTCCGACGTATGCAACTGTACGGATCAAGATGAAATATTGTGCTTTAATGATTTTAACGCGGACACAGTAAAGTTCCGTTAGAACGTAAATCAGTCCTGAGTTTTAAACCCTTAAATAGGGTTACCGAAATAAACTTTAATTCTTGTAAATAGTCTCCTAGAAATTTCTAGGATACTTATCATCATATGTCATTTAAGTTTTTTTTTTAAGTAAACCAATGGACCTTCTGTCCTACAGTATCCTTTAATAATACCCCACTTATCCCTGTTGAACAAATCCGATACCTTGGACTCCACTTGGACAAACATCTAACTTGGAATCCTCATATCAGACTGAAACGACAAGAAACCGCTAGACGTTTCCCACTACTCCAACACTTACGAGACAAACGCTCTAAGCTTCGAGTTAATTACCAAAGACTCATATACATGACTACAATAAGACGTATTTGGACTTATGGTGTTGAGCTTTGGGTCTCTACTAAGACACGGAATTCCTCTCGTATCCGATCCTTACAATCCAAATTCTTTCGGAGAAACCTCAATGCTCCTTACTTTGTCACCAATAACATAATCCATAACGACCTTAATGTTCCTTATGTTTCTGATTTGGTCCAATCTCCATACCTATCCATCCATAATAAACTTCAGAACCATCCGAATCCTCTTGTTTCTAACCTTGCTTCCACTTTGATTCCTGATAACCATTCGAGGCGTCTGAAAAGAAGATGGCCTCGAGATCTCCTATTGTAAAACTATTATTTTTTTTTTAGAGTGCTACCAGTGAGTAGTTTCTCAACAAGTGATTTCATGTTATTATTTTGTGTTATCAAATTTACTAAATGTTTTTTATTTATTAATACATTTGTAAATAATAAATTTAAAAAAAAGTGTTTTAAAAATTAAAATATTCTTACTTATTGCAGTATAGAACGAATTGAAAATCTATTTAAAAGGCTAACTAATGCGAATAGTTCTGAGATCTCTTGGACAAATCGATTGATATAGAATGAAAATATTTGGTGTTTGTAATAAGAAGCAGTTTTTTTGATATCTTGCGATTTCCATTCTTGTTTATATATTTCACTTCGCATAAATGCGAGAACTACAAGTCATGCATGACTCATGATTTGCAGTAATAATCCGATTGGGCTCAGCATTTGTTTGTTTCCAAATGTAACTGAAGAGATAATGTCCAATAGGATAAGTTTATTATTTATTATTATTAACTTCACTAATTGTATTCGTTTTTTTTTCTTAGTGATATTTACAACTGTATAGAATAAATACATCTAGTAAATTTTAACATATGAATATGTCATGAAAACAATTGCTGAGTAACTGCCCAATGGTAGCACTCTAATGATATGTCTACATTAGGAGATCACGGGGCTATCTTCTTTTCGGACGCCTCGGTGGGTTATAAGGAATTGAAGAGGAAGCAAGGTTAGAAACGAGAGAGTTGAGATAATTCTGAAGTTTATTATGGAAGGATAGGTATCGGGATTGGGCCAGATCTGAAACAAAAGAAACATTAGGTCATTATGGATGGTTTTATTTGTAACAATTTTGCGAAGAATTTGGTATTGTAAGGATTGGATACGAGAGGAATTCAATGGTTTAGTGGAGCCCCATAGCTCAACTCCGTAAGTCCAAATAGGCCTTATTATAGTCATGTGGTCTTTTATAATTAATTGGAAGTTCAGAGCGTAAGTCTAGTAAGTCTACACGTTTTGTGTAGTAAGTGCTGAAGTAATCGGAAACGCCGAGCGGTTTCTTGTCGTTCCAGTCTCGTATAATTGTATTAGTTAAATAGACTTTCTTGATATTATTGTGTTAATACATATAAACATGTTTTACTAATAATCTTTAAATATTGAATTTATAAGGGAGAAAAAGGATAGATATTGATTAATAAATACAGATACGGATTTGTATATATTTGGAAAGTATATACAATGACAATAACAGCGAGGAAAGAAAAACATTCCTAAAAGCAGATACATTTGAAAATTATTAGTCTAACAAGAATCTCTCTAAGTTAACAATTGATTTACATGGGTCAATGAGGGTGAATAAGATCCTTCTTCATCTCTTTCATGATAACTGGAGTTGCGGAAAATATTAAGCAAACAGGTTGTAAGGGTGTGCCGTGATCCCTAACAGGTACCTTGGAAGGAGGAAAGTACTCAAAAGGATAAGTGAAGCAGTCTGAGATAAGGGCCACAACGTATAAAGAAGAAGGTATATGGACTACCTCACGGAACTACTCTGAAAATATCTCACAACGAGCAGGCAAGTAGTCAGAGCTAGGGCATGTAGTTGGATGCAATTAGGGCCTCTCCATACAACCATGAGAGTCACATTACTTGGTAAAAGACGACGTGGGAGAACAGAAACTAGGTGGATAGGCATAATAAACTAATGTACTGCAGAGATAAAATAATAGCGAAGAGTGAAGCGAAAGGCTGCTGTTAAAGGCTTGTTAGTCTAAGTAAAGTTTATCACAAAATATAAAATTAATCATTATGCAGGTTTGACTTTTGGTATTTTTACAGTGATACATTTTCTTAATGGTCAGAAGAAATTAATCAAATGAATCTTCAATTGAAATTACAATACAATAAAAAATCCTCGCCCCCTTTTCAGGAATATATTATTCTTCCAAGAAATCGGGTAAGTGAAAAAATTTAATACAATAAGATTGGTTCAATAATAATTAAATGAGTAATATATTTCTGAAGAGGGGGATCGAAGTTTTCCTTGAAACGTTCAATAAATTGCAATCAAAGACTAATTAAAATTAATATTTATTTATTTATGATATTTACAATTAAAATACATTATTATTATTAACAAGTAAAATACATTTAGTAAATTTGCTAATAGAAAATAATAACATGAAATCACTTGTTGAGAAACTACCTACTGGTAGCACTCTAAATGAATTAATATTTATTTGTAATTTATGATATTAATTACAACGAGAAATCAATAGGTTACAATGAATAGGAGTGATATTTTTTCTGGTGCAAGAAATCTCTTTAAACCTCAATTTACATGAATTAAAGTCTAAATTTGAATATTATTGGCAATCAATTGAAAAAAGGGATGATATAGATTTTAAATATCTACTAATGACCATTCCCTAAACATAAAAAAAAAACTATGACTTTTATATAGATGATCTGGACTATTACTATCTTAAATAATTAACATTGAATCATACAATTCTTAATAGAATGCACACATAAATATGGAATGGGAACGTACTTTGATCTTCTACTTGCAGCGCTCAATAAATTAAAGGGAACTTTTTATAGTATACATAACTTAATCTATTGAAGGAAGTTAGTCGATTGTTCTACATCTCATGGGTGATAAATATTCAGGACGCAGTCATTATAAAGATTTTATTAGTGGCGACGTTTCAACCTAAGCATGTGGATCATCATAACTTAATCTATTTTTCAGAAAACATCACTGGACTTTTAAAACATCTCTATTTTTTGAGAAAAAGACCATATAGTGAATTTTAAGATTTTTTCCAGGTGAAAATATATTCTTAAATTCAGAAGTGATCAATGAATGTTAAATTTACATTTTTTTGTTTTTGTTTGCCCCCAAACTTGCCCCCAACAACAAATGGTCTTTATTTTTTTGATGGAGATCACCTAGGGACGAAGCAAAAAAAATATTTATTTTTACATCTTTACGAAATATTTCTCGATTCAAGCCATCTACATGTTTTGATTCTGGCAAAATTCATTCTTATTATGCAACTATATAATTTTAAATTTCTTTTCCTGTTGTTTCCTCATTCTATAAATTTCTTTTAAGCCATAATATTCTTCTGTAATTCTGAATCCATGGATTCTTATCAGTATTCTTCCTGAAGTTTTAGAAGTTTTTCCAGAATATGGGTATTTCCAGATAATGATTATGGCCAGGATGGGTATTTTATTTTTTTGTTATAACTATATTTTATTTTCATGTCCAGTATTAGCTTTAGAGTATTAGTTGATATCTCTTTGTTTATACTTTGTAAAAACGCGAGACCCGATATGTTTCTAAGAATTAAAAGACCATATTTAAATGAAAAGTATATATTAAATTTAAAAAATAAATTATAAATAAACAGAAAGATTCCCTAACACATAAAACCTTACAAACATTACTGGAGACATTATTGATAAAAGCTATATGGACAACACTGCATAGGTACTTCAAATAATTTACGTTCGTATTTTAATGAAACATAACTTATATGAATCAATATCTTTGTTAAATGTAGATTTTAAATTAGGAATAAACCTGGTCGAGATTCTTGTTTTTAATAACCGTCTTTCTAATTCTTAGAATTTATTTTATTCAAAATTTCATTAAGTATTCATTTAATTTAATTGCCTATTCATTTTAAAAATTAAATTATTTTTATTATTAAAATTAAAAAGAAATAAAAAGCGTACGTAGTAAAAACTGAAGAACAAAGTTCTTTACAAGAATTTATTTTTAAAATATTAAAAATTATTTTTAATTAAATTTTATAGAATTCTTTTCAAAAACTACATTTTTTTTTTAATTAAAAATAATTTATAATAAGCAACTAAATAAGAATATTCTTAGATTATAAAATATTGGAATGGGTAAAGTCTGAACTGTGAGAAGGGAAAGTCTCCTTGGATATAATGTAATATGACAAGACTTCGAGAATAAGACACAGACAGCGGCGAAAGCACTCAATACAAGAGCTCAATACCAATATCTGTTCAATACCAATATCAATGGACATAGAAATGGATATTACCCTCAGAGACCACAGTGGATCTCTTCCCACACAGTGTAATATAAGAAGGCTTCTTCTGGCCACCACAAAAACACCACGGACTAAGATAGGGCATCTTTATAGGCCTATTCAACATTCTATAGGCTCCGAGAATTTTAAAGGGTGTGGATAAAAAATAAGTATATAAAAATAATTGGCGCATTTAGATAAGGCTTGGAATTGAGACAAGGATTTTTATTGGCCGAGGTGGGTAGATTTTGTTGTCAAGTGTTTTGGGGTTTTCAAGGAAATACACTATAAAACATGGAAAATATTGGGTGTCGTTACTGTCGGCATAAAAACCATTAAATGGACTAGGCTAGTTTTAGACGTTCTGTGACAGCAATAAAACAACAATTATTCATTGATTTATCAACATGGAACTACAATAAGAGTAAAACCAATAACAGAATAGGTAACCACTAAAATTCAGTTAGAACAAACCAAACTGTCAACGTTTCCCTAATTGAGGTATCATCAAGAGAGCGACAACCTAAGTTAACTATATTTTTACCGAATCTACATCACCCTTTGAGATCCAAACTCATATTGAAGGAAAAGGGAGATAAGTTAAAAACAGCTGATACGAAAAAATGGAGTAAAGATCGTTAACGGATTATAGTTTAAAGTATCTGGATTCGGAATTTTCAATTTATATCCTTACATAAATTCGGAATTGAAAATTTGTGACCAACAGATTTTGTGAAAAGATTCAAATCCGGTATCGTTTCAGAGAAGATTCCATTAGTGCAATATTAACTGTTAACAACGTCGCAGGTTTTCAGGATTGAAAGATTGGGAAGTTGGACAAACTTCAGTCCTGAATTTAATAACATAACAAATAATCATATACTATCTCTGTCTTTAATATAGGGGGGAGAGAGAGAGGGAAACAAGACGTTTTGAGTTCTGAGGTTAAAATCAGTCAAACTGGAACAAAATGCCATTCTATTGTAATTTTCTACTTACATGCAACGTCGAGAACAGCGGGTTGGCTCCTGATGTTCCCTCTCGAAGACCACGCAATACACTCACACTTGAACTTGTCTTTGCCGAAGTATTCTTCAACGTCGTCTCGCGTGATGTTGACCGAGGCTTCCACGTTTCGTACTCCTGTCTGCGGATCGACGAACTCCTGCTGGACACTGTTTTCGGACACTCGGCCACCGTTGCATTTGAAGTATACCTGAAATTTGAAGAAACAATTAATAATTTAATTTAAAATAGTTAGCTTATTTGGATTTAAAAGTAAAAATAATGGAATTTTTTTAGAATGAATTCTGACTTTTCTTCTATAACAAAAAAAAAAAAAGAGAATCAATATTTATATTGATATTCATGCTTCAAAAATATTTATAATATCGACTATCGATATTTCAAGTCCGATATTTTGATGGTATCGATAGTTGTTATATATCGGTATTATTATCGATGACGATATAGATATTGGGGCTTTGATATTCCATCCCTAGTCTGACCCCCTTAAAATGGAAATTGTTTTATTCATTGGTCTATATTTGCTTCTGTGAGTAATTTGAAATAAATACTCAAGCAATCAAAAGATGCCATTTAAGTTAAAACGAGTGTATTTTAGCTAATAATTGTTGCTAATAAAGCACAAGTTAAGTAAAATTGCACTAACAGAATTTGTACTCCTGTAAAGACAGATTTTTATTTTATTTTTTTATTGTATAGCCTGTATACTAACAAACATTTTCTTGAAGAGTAATCACCGTTCTTAAAAAAAAATAATTAAATCTTATATTCTCCTCTTATTTTTACCTTTTAGGACTTTAGGTATTTGAAGTATTTTCCTCCACTCAGCCGATTCATTACAAACTCTTTTACATTTCTAGCATGTTGTTGACCTTAGTTGTTGGCCTCTATATCATCCGTCTATCGTAGTGTAGTCCTTTTTCTTATTCTTTCCTGATTTCTTCATATAGGTCCTTAAGTTATGCGTTTGGTTTATATTAAGTTGGTTGTATACTATAATGACTTCCTTATTTGGAGAGGTTCGTCACTGGTGTTAACTAAATGATTTCAATTAAATTTTTTAAAAAATACTAATATACATATACGGGAGAATCCGAGGCCAAACTTAAACACCTGATGAATTGCGCAATACATTTTGTTTTCGGAATCTCAAGAGATACGCATATAACCCAGTATTGCACTAAATTGAAGTGGCTCTATCCATCCAACCGCCGTCTTTCCTTGCTACCAAGCCATCAGAACTCAGCGACCTTCCTATATTTTTCACAGCTTACAATTTAAATATTCCATTCAATCCCGTCCCGCTAGATCTCGTACTTCCTACCTCTATCCACCTCCTCACCGAACTGTGTTTTTTGCAAATCATTTATAATTAAAGCCGTCTCCTTCTAGAATACCACAACTCCCGATATCCGATATGCACAATCAGTTTCCTCATTTAAATGTCTCCTTTTTAAGCACCTACTCCTTTTTCAACCCAATTGATCACCAAATGTAGATAAGAGAACTTTTTAAGTTCTCCCAGAAATGATTTTGTTCACTTATGCTATCTTATTCTCCCATGTTTTCTTTTTATATGTATCAGTAAAATTTTTTTTCTCTTCTTGCAATATTTTAACTTTAATGGGATTTGTAAATATATGTAATTTAAAGTATTTCCACAAAGGCATTTCTTCTGTATCTATAACTTCTCCTAAAGGGACAACAGTCTCAGGATAATAAAAAAATATTTTAAATTCATTTCATATATACAGAGTCCGATATAGATTTTAAATCAGAAAACTTTTTTTTTTTAAACTGTATTAAAAGCCTCAAATTGTAAACAGATATTGAATAAGAAAACATCAAGATAGGTTCTGCAATGTGTAGAGACTCCATAACACCCTTTCTCCAAAAACCATAATTTCATAGTTCGCGAATTATAATAGTCGATAATCTTTTTTACCTGTCTTTGATGATTTGTTTGGCGCAAAATAAGTACATACCTACTACTTTGAACATGTTATTTTGTTGTTGTTACGTTTTTTATAGTATGTCATCGATGTTATTAGGAGTAATCACTAAGGGTTGAGTATTTTAGAAGTTGCCAAGGCGTGAACAGTAATTGCTGATCGATATCAAGGAAACTGTTCCCTGCACCTGGCAGATAACGTTCCTTGTAATAAGTTAGTTTTCCTTTTAACCGAGTTATGAATTCGTTTAGGAGTTAGTATCAGTTAAAGGCTGCCTTAGACTTAAACCATTGGCTCATACTCATCCTGCCATATTGAATCGGGATTGATAAAGGAATATTATCTCCAGAACCATATATATTTTGAAAAAATATATCCTTTTACGGTTACTGTTCCTGTTATTTCTGTAAGAAAATATTAGGTAAAGTATCTACAACATCTAGAGCTATGAACTTACTATAATATTTCTCAAAATAATATCTATGCAAACAATGAGATGAACGACAAAACTTGGACGATTCAATTTTCATAAAATTTTCAAGATTGTTCAAGGTTAAATAATTATGCAATATTGCCTTATGTAAAGACAATTTTGTTATTTTTTTCTTACAAAATATACTTTTGAACAACAATCGAAAATAATTCGTAAGAAAATAATGAATCAGCAAACTATAAAATGTAACAAGTTACATAGATGTCTCGCTATGATTATTATTTTATTGCATAAAAAAAATCAATTTAGGAATATAAAGATATAGGAACATAATGATGGTCGAATATTATCTTGAATTATAAAAGGTTTGAAATATTTTAATGAAGTTGAAATTATTGCTTGACATTATGAGACAAAGGCAGAAAAACTAATAAAATATTTACTATACACATATTTGTATAATACCTTGGCATCAGTGTTTTGATTGTTTTCTACATTAAAATTTTAGTTTGTTTTTTTTGCTTTTATCTTCAATCATTTGTACAAATTTCAATGATGAGTACCAATCATATACCCATTCGTGTAATTGTTGATTTATTTTGATAGTGAACGAACTGACAGTACTACCGAGACTGTATGCAAGAATATTAGAAAATTGTTGAAGGCTTTTGAGAATAGTTTGGTATCGTCATTTATGTTTGTTTTCAAATTTAATTTATGATAGGATTTGAAGGGTTACAAATTTTATTCTTCATTCACAGAGGATCTAACGAATAATAATAATTAATTTTGGCTACAATACACGATCTCTTCTCTCGATTTCATCTAAAACTACACAGGCATCACAACGGGCTTATTAATGACATCGCCACAGTTGACATGCCCATCAGGAGACAACTGAAGAGGAGCTGGATGGGAGATCTCCTTTCACGAATTAAGGAAGTTAACTACGACCAGGAGGAGGTGCTGTTGGGTGCTATTTTTCCTCATGACTAAAATGTTGATTTTCGTATTAGTTAAAGCAGATATGTTAATTGTAAAGCTTATGACGAGTGTGGATGGAAAAAACAAAATAAAATAAATTATTTTCTGTTATTTTATATAAAATAAAATGACAAATGATGTGTCAAGTAACAATGAAAAAAAAATTCTATTTCTAAGATAATTTTATTAATGTTTATTTTTGAAAATTCAATAAAATGGATGTGATAAATATTAAAATAAAAAGAATAAAATTATGCTGCAAAACACAGAAATATAAACAAGGCAAACCAAATTTTATTTAATTATATTTAATCGAGAGTTCTGGTGTCTTTTTAGTTTCTAGAAACTTTCAGAATTATGGGCTATCCTTTTCTGTCAGTGATTGTACTATGAGACGTTTTTAAAATCCATTACTAAATTACCGTAATAATTAACAGTTATTATTCAAAACTAGATGTTCGACTGACGCATAAAACCAATGTGAGTTACATAAAAATTTATACTTTAAATTTAGTTACTTTAATAAATCACGTGAAGTCGGGTCAAACCTCTTGCATCATTGAGATATAATGTTAGATCATTTTTAATGATCTATATTTAATATAGATTTACCATTTAATACAGAGGCATTTTTGGGGGATAATATTAAGAAAATTATCGATTGGGAATTTCAGTGACATAAAATATACCACTTAAAGGGCATTGTAAAATTGGGCGATTTAAGTATCATTAGGACAATGGCTAGACCCTGACCCGGAATTGTGATTCTAATACCGACACCAAGCCGAGGGCCGACCAATAATTTGTGGGCCGAATTATTTGTGCCTTTGTGCCTTATCCCATTGTTCGGCGAGGAGCGGGCCACACTGGATACAGCTAATTGCACTCCTGCGAATAATAGCCTCATTATGCAAATAATTCTTGCTATAAACCGATCGATGGCTCTCACTATTCAAACCTTCGCCTCGGGATAATTTAAGGCAGTTTAAGATGCTATCTTCAAAGACGTAGGTTGCCTTCATATTTCAGTACAAGTGGAGGTATCCTTTGTAAAGTTCATATAAAAAAAAAAGGAAGTAAAATTGATGTTAATTTTTCATTACAACAAAGTAATTATGACGTTATATCAATAAGGAAAAATAAAACACTGAAGTGCCCGTAGAATATTACTCATACAGCGTTAATTCATTTACACAACTAGTTTGAAACTAAAAATAAAATATTTTTAAGAACTTAGACCTAGAATACTTAGTGCAGTGATTTTCACCTTCAGGGACGTTTATAGGTGATTTGTTAGATGATAACATACACCTATATTATTTCTAAAATATTATAACTAGTACCTATATTATTTCAAAGAAAAGGCGAAAACATAAAGTGTAATTTAATCAATCGCATTTAGTTTCTTTTATTAAACTCGTAGATATTGAAAGGAGAATTAAAAAATCGTTATAAGAAATACGGGTTTAAATTAGGAATAAAATAAGTTAAATGCATTATTAACAACAGTTTCAATTTTTTTTTACTACCTAAATAAACAGAGAAAACAAAAGAAAAATCAATATTATATTGATAAATGACACATTATTTTAAAATAACTGACCGTTACTTTTAAATTATATTTAATCTTGTTTGATTTTTAAGTATACATATATCTAATAAAAAAAAAAAAAAAGGAGAGCATTTGAATTTAAAACTCTTTTATCTGCAGCTTATTCCATAAAACAAAAATAATGATGGTCATAAAATATGGTGGTGCCCATAAACTCTAGGTTGGAAACTAATATACTAGGGAATAGGTGATGTTTTATTTTGTCTGGTCTAGCTCTATAAAACATTAATATTGTTATCTTCTTATTTTTCTTTTCTTAGGAAGCCTACGTTTATATATTTTTTCATAGTTGAGGCAAAAATCCATCCAATTTTCTTCAAATCCATTTAACCACATTCATTATTATGTCCCGAAACGTTAGAGATAATAAATGTTATTGAAGAAAATTGGAAGTATTTTTGCCTTAAATATGAACAAATTAATATTGTTGTTTTGTTTTTTTCAATTTTTCAATGAATTTGAAGTAGCAAATAAATGTGTTTATATATATACTTGATAGAATTCATATATCTTCGACGATTGTACAAAACCAGATCATTCAAAAAATTTTTATCAAAAGAATGTTACAGAACAGAAATATATATTTATTTATTTTTTTTTTTTGAGAACTTCATTCCAACCATAGGCACTAAATGTTGCTACGATAATAACTATGTAGATAACAACAAAGTTAGAGGACATGACCATGTAACATTTATATTAAAGGAGTTATATGAATAAAAACTAAAATTGGGGAAAAGTAAAGTTAATGTCAAAAAGCGAAATTAAGTACTTCATAGTTAAAGGACCTCTGATATAAATCATTCCAAAAATTCAGCACTTACGAATTCATGCATTTTTTTTTTTAACTTCTGTCCACCGAACTTTGTTTTCTTTATGCAATTTTTAAAAAAAAATTGAGGGGAGGTATACTTAGAACAATTCATTACGTTTAGTTATTTATTTTTCTTCCCTTCCTTGCCTATTAGGTTATACGGGGATTTCCCGAGCCAAGGGGTGAGAGCGGGGGATTAATGTTAACTCTTAATATTTACTTTACCTTATGTGGGATTCTAAATACCAAATGACATAGGAAGTAATACTCTGGACGTTTTGATCTTTTAACCTACATTGCTGAATTGGAAAAATAAACAAATAAGTGTTAAGAGTTATAAACCCTTAAAGTGATATAAACAAACATCAAGTTTGTTTGTTTCGCAATTAAATCACAAAATTATAATAATGCTAGATAAAACAAAAACAAGAAGTAAATGTTATAAACTACTGAAACGGATAAAGATAATGTTTTTGTGAACAGGTAATGAATGAAAGATTGATGTCTCAGATAGGGTGCTAATTTTATTTCTCGGTTGTAGAATGTTAAGTTATTCAGAACGAAAATTAATGGCAATATCGTGAAATACTTTTTATTTAGAATAAATTACATGTTATTTTACATAAATAATAATAATTACCTGAAGAGCATGTGAGGCCCTGCACTGCAAGGTGGCCGGCTTGTTCTTGATGATGTAGGTGTCCGTCGGCTCTTCGAGAAAGACAGGAAGAGGCACTGATTGCGATCCGTCGTGGGCCTCGGAGGATGGAATCGTCGGCGAGTGCAAGGAATCCTCCAGAGGGTAGCTGTCCTCATCAGCCCCATCCTCTTCCTCGCCTCCTGGAATACATTAAAAGGGTTTTTGTTTTAAAACATTTTCCTGATGTTGCTACAATTATTAATAATACATGTTTCTAATAACAAATGTTATTCATGATAACAAATCACAACAGAATATTATCATAAGTCAGTTCATGGTTTCAAGACTTTATTAGTAATAATAGTGCATACTACCAAGTAACTCCTTAATTGGAATAATAATTAAGATAAAAAATGGGGATACCCATATGTTCTTAGCGGAAGATCTACGCTACTGCGTAATCTCGGTCAATAAATAATCTGATTGATCTAAAATAAAGCCGCCGATTTGGTTAAAACTGGCACCAATCAAAGAAAATGCATGGGAAGAATTGCTGGAAAGGAAAATTAGAACCTTAATGAAAAAGATACATGTCGTAAGTTCCAGAGCTTCGATGAGGAAGAAGTCATAGTAAGCCCAGGCAATGTAGGACACTCTTTATTTACACCTTGCAATATCACACAATCAGTAAAACACTTGCTAAAAGAGTGGCCCGATTCGAACAAAAAATAAACAGACTTATCGAAATCATTAAAGAAAATATTGAAAAATAATAAAGAACAAATCTCTTAAATCCTAGAAGAGTACATGGTATTAGTAGTAACAATAAGTCGGAATTATTTTTTTTAGTCTGGCAGAGGTAGAGGTAGAAAAAAAAAATCGGCATACATACATCAACGTGTTTAATATTCCTATTTCCCTTAAGTCGATTGTTGAATGATGGTTGATGATACGTTTTATTTATAATAATTTGTAAACGTTTCTGTTCCAAATGGTTTATTTCTTAAGATATCACTTTAGAGAAAAAATCACATTATTTCGTGAGACAACGATTAAACATTCGTCTTTTCGTTCATTTGATTTCACCGTGTGATTAAATGACTAATACCTTCAAAAAGTTGTATATCAGTAGTGTTGCCAAAATTGGTCTTGGTCTAGCACTTTGCAAGACCAAGACCAGGACTGGTAAAAAAAATTGATTTTTTAAATAAAAATTAAGGCAAAATAGTTACTAATACTTAATTATTGGTAAAACCAAAATAATTTTGGGTTCATCTCCTCTAATACTTCATTCAGGCTTAGTTATGTTTCTCCTATCTAAAAAAATACAGTAATATCTCTACTGTAATAAGCTAATAAGTAACTGCAAGACTGTTGCGAGACTCTTGCGCAAAACCAAGACTATAACCAGTGTGTCAGAGTGGTAAATACATAGATAGTTCAATCATTTTGTATTGTCAGCCATTAATAGTCCTATTACAATTTCTCGGTTGAAGATATCAATATAAAACCCATTTAATCCCATCATAGTTTAAAAAAGATACACATATTTCTAGATATATGTAAGGAACATTCGTTCGGATGAGAATCATTGGCTGATAAGAAAGGATAAAGGAGACAAGGACAATAGAGGAGGGCAATATGAGGGAGTATTGGACAGGACAGACCGCCATAACCCAAACCTTAGCCCGTGATATAGTGCCTTATAAGGGGGAATCAAGGGCAGCATAAATCCACTGTATCATATATCCCTCCTTCCTCCCTCCCCTCCCACTACCCGGTATTAAGGGTGACTACCAATAACAGCAACCGGTAATTTATATTGCTCGATAATACAACAAATATCGGCCAAGATATCATTCTTGACAAATGTCTTTATATAACCACTAAAGGGCCACAATCTGTACATCAATATTATCGGCAATAATAACTAAATAAAACACATTCATGTGAGAAAGAAGTATCAACACGTACATAACTAGCACATTCGATTGTCGAGAATCACATATTAGAAAAGAAAATCATGCAAATTAAAAAAAAAAAAAAATACATTCAAAAATATGTAATTGCTCTTAATATGAATGTATTCGAATAAACGTATTGTAAAAATCCAAAATTAAGATAAGAAATTAAGATGAGGAGAATCTAGGACACATGTTGAAAATCATGTTAGTAAAACCAATGGTATAATTATTCAAGAAGAAATATTCAATAACAGCAGTTTCGAAAAAAGAATAATAATTTTTTTAATTGTTTTTGCTGAAACTGAATTTTCCAACTTGTAAAATAAAGAATATGGTCTTCAAGACAAACGGTGCAAATGAAAGTAAAATTATAAAAATTGTATTTATAGTTTTGATTGTGACTCACACCCAACACCCAAAAGAAATAGGAACCTTGATGAAGATCGAAAGATGGGCACAAAATAAAATACATTTTTTTAATTTTCATTTTGAGTTTTCTTTAAATGTTACTTCCAAACAACGTCTAAAATGAATTTTATCCCTTTGTTGCGTGGTTTGAAAGTTCTCTTCTATTAAAACCTCGTAAAAATATGATTCCTCCAAAAAAAAAGGTCATAGATACAGATGAAGGACACTTCACGTGAAATTGAGACAACGATCATTCTTTTTTTTGCACATATGAATACGAATAAACATTTAACTAACGATTTATTCAAGATATTTACAACTGTATTACAATATAAATACATCAAGTAAATGTGTACACAAGAATATAATCACTTGAAAACGCTTGTTGAGAAACTACAAACAGGTAGCACTCTAATAATATGTCTACATAATGCCATCTTCTTTTGAGACGCCTCGGGGGGTTTAAAAAATTAAACTTGGAATATGTTTTATTATTAGTAGTATTTCAACAAATTTGTGTATAAAATTTATTTTGCAGGATGAAACATAATAATCAAGTTTTATTTTTTATAAATTAAGGTTTTTTCATATTGTCTCAGTTTTAATTACTTTTTTATACAGGCGCAAATACATTTTTAAAGACAAAAAAAAAAGTTTAACAACATAGAATTCAGTAAAATAACTTCCTCCTCAGATAATAAAATACTTTAGGTGATAATGGATTAATGATAGTAGAGTGTATATAAACTCTGCGAAACATAGAGATAAAATCAAAGAGGATCTAAAATTAAAAAAAAAAAAAAAAGATTAGTTTAAAACATAAATCGATAGAGCCATTATCTTAAGCTGCTTACATAAAGCGGATTATTAGGGACAGTAGCTCTCGCAGAGTTTAGTCAATTACGATAAAAAAATTTCGTCTATCATGTTCAATATTATTGTACCTTAATTAATCACTAAATTATAATTATATTCTCAATATTAGAAAATAGTAATACAATAATGAGCACTGATAAATTTCATTTTCGACACATTTTACCTAGACAAAATATAATAAAGGTAGTATACACTAAGCAATAAATGAATGATTATTGTATAATTGAAGGAGTGTATATACCGCCTCTAATATTTTATGAAAATAAAACCTACATATACATATTTACCGAAGATTCATTGGATGCACTTCCCTTTTAACTTACTTCATATCAGATAACTCATTATGAAAACCAAAAGTAATGTATTTATATAAATTTGTAATATATTACTAAAGTTAAAAGGAGAGTTCCATAAAAAATAAATAAATATATAAAAAAAAGTTATTGTTGAATATTTCAAAAATAAAATTCCATTATCAACGAAAATCCAATCAAAGCGACTCTGGAATCGGTGTCAATCCAAAAAATAATTAAGTGTTACGCAAACCTCACAGCTCAAGCGCGAGTTTGAAGGGAAAATTGGCTCGTGTTGTAACTGTAACACCATTACGAAATAAGATACGAAATGATTCATATTGGATTATAGTATAATTATAAAAAATATAATGAAAAATGTACCTTGTAAACATTTATTTTATTTTTATTATTTTAATTATGTTATTTTAGGACAATAAATGGATTAATAATGAAAAATTCACACAATCTATAATTTTCTTTATATGCAAAATATAGTAACAAATAAAATTGATACTACGTAATTAAAATCCTTTCCTTGCGATAGCCATTGTGATAACACGTCATATTACTCAATAAAATAAGATTAATGAAAAAATCAGCAATGCTCTTTCAATGAGAAAAATAAAAATAAAAATTATGTATATATAAAAACAAAAAAAATATATATATATATATATATATATATATATATATATTTTTTTTTTTAATATTTATTTATATTGCTGGATATTTTTTTATAAAGTAATACAACTTATCAATATCTAATTATTCGCCTGATTATATTCAATTATACATTTAGCAATATAAACGGTGATACTGATTATATATGAAATGATTAAATATAAATAAATTGATTGTGAGATATAACACTAAAAATAGGAATCTAAAAGTACTGGTACAAAAGTTCGGTATGCAACTATAAAATCGAGTTTAAAAACCTTTTGATATCAGAAAGAGAAAATGATACTAAAAATAGAAGAACATGTTTTTTTCCTGTTGGATGGTGACCCTATGCATGAGATATTTCCAGTATGTAAGGTTACGTTGCTAACGTACCAAGGTGCTTTTGTGATTGTCCTGAATGTTTTTGCTTGAAAGATTTGAAGTTTGTTTATGTGATTCTTTTTAGCTGTTCCAAATATCAGCGATGCGTAAATCCAAATAGGTTTTAGTAAGTAATTGTATCTGTTCAATTTCTGTCCAAGTTTTAGTTTTGAATGTTTCGAAAGAAGTTAGTTCAGAATTTTGAGTCTTTGATTTTGGGTTTTACTCTAGTTTGTTATATGTGAGATATGTGTATTGTCAAAGAAAACTGGAGGGCATGTTTCACGTCGAAGGGTAAATGTGATGTGCTGTGATTTGTCTTGATTTAGTAAAATTTTCCAAAAGTTTGAACCAGTCGTGTAATCTTGTTAAATACCGGTTCTAGCGTCTGTAAGGGTATGATGGACTTTTGTGTCTTGTACGTTGGTACTACAAGGTGTGTCATGGGTGTATGTGGTATAGAGTACTGAAGCGAGTGGTTTGGGGTACTTCTGCTGGGATATACCTGATGGAAGATAATTCTGACCCGTGTCGGATGCAGAAAAATCTGTAGGAAAGAAAGGATTGTAGAATTAGATAGGAGGTAGGTGGAAGTATTGTCTTGAGTTTAAA